TCGAGGACCCCGGTTTAGGGTTGAAGGTTGGGCTTACGGCTCAGGGCTTAGGGTGTAGGGTGTACGGCTTAGGGCTTAGGGCTTAGGGCTTAGGGTTTAGGGTTTAGGGTTTAGGGCTTAGGGTTTGGGGTGTAGGGCTTTGGGTTTAGGGTTTGGGGTTTGGGGGTTTAGGGGTTTAGGGTTTTAGGGTTTTAGGGTTTTAGGGTTTAGGGGTCATTGTTAGTGTTGTTGGTATCGCTGCTACTAGTCACACTGTTATTATGATCATGGTTATAGGTTTTGTTCTTACCATTTTTATAACTACTCTCATTGTTCTTGTTGTTGTTCTTTTTCGTTCCTGTGCTATCACTAAAAATATTCTTTCGATTGTTACTAGTTTTGCAAGTATTACTATTCTCATTATTGTTGTTGTCATGAGTAGTATTACCATTATTAGGACTGTGATTATGGTATGTTTAGGTGTGTTGATTGCTGCTATGGTGGTGACTATTGCTTCTTTTTTTTGTAGTTGTTCTGGTTGCGACAGCATTGCCACTGTCATCAGTTTGGCTTTCATGGGTGTAATTATACTGAATCTTGCTAGTAGTATAGTTATTACTTTTGTCGCTCTTGTCATTACTATTGTTGCCGTTTGTGGTTGTTGTTCCTGTTTTCACTGCTATTGTTTTTTTGTGCGTTTTGAGAGGCAACAGGCTTTTCTAAAGGACATGTCAGGCTCTTTCGTGGAGCGAAGCTTCAGTGTGGTCCCTGCATCTTGGCTCGAGATGCAAGATTAACCCTAAACCCTAAACCCTAAACCCTAAACCCTAAACCCTAAAGCAAGATTTTCCCACCTGGCTCCCATTGCGCGTACTCCTCGCAGCAATGGGCCCGCCGGGCTTTCCGCAATCTGACACACCAAGCAACTCGTGCCGCAGCGCTGCGTGCAGTAAGAGCCGGTATGTACAGCATATCTTTGTATCACTTCGTTGCATAGCAATATTGTCAGCTTCATTTTTAATTACTGCTCTTATTGCTATTCTTCTTCTTGTTATTGTTGCTAGTCATATTATTACTAGTATTGTTGCTATCATTGCTATCATTAGGTGCTCTTGTGCTGAGGCCAATAGGGACAAAGGCTTCGAATGGCTGGCTCCTGAGCATGGGCCGGCTTCAGTGTTTGGATGTAGCGCGTCAGCACTGTCCGTTTCTCAGGTGGCAGCCATTCGATCCTTTGAATCCTTGGTGGCAGCATGCCACAAGGACGGATGCTGATGCCCTCTTGGGTAGTGGGATCACGGTTTTGCAAATGGCTAGTTGTCAAAAGTATGGTCCCTTTTGGGGTACCCTAAATAATAGGTGCCGTATTACAGTAAGGACCCAAAAAGGGACTGACAACCACCCACATGTCTAGCTTGCGAAGCCGCGACCTCGAGCGGCTCTTGCAGGCTCGACGCTGGGAAGAGGTCCTGACTTTATTCCGACACATGAGGTTGAGCCGCCTTCCTGCGCCATGATTGCAGCAAGCTCTGGTGACAATGAAGACACGCCGGAAGCTTCACGGCGTCTACCCGTACCTAAACCCTAAACCCTAAACCCTAACCAGGCCGGCATGGCGGTCCTGAATTCAGCAGTCAGTGCATGCGAGACCGGGGCCCAGTGGCAAGTGGCCATTCAGCTCCTGACAGAGGGTGCCTTCTCTCAAATTGCTCGGGGGTGTCCGCGGGTTTCGTGGGTTTAGGGGTTCAGGGTTTAGGGTTGCAGGGGGTTTGAGGGTTTTAGGGTTTAGGGGTTGAGGGGTCTAGGGGTCCAGAGGTTTAGTTTAGGGGTTCAGGGCTTTACTGGTTTAGAGTGGTGCCTCATTCGGACTTTTGGGGTCTCTGTAGAAGGGTCCCTTGTTGTTTCAAACTCAAATCATTCTGCTCCAATCATGCTGACGTGCGGCGTCTCTCTCCGTGTGGAAGTAGAGTGGCTTGACCAAACCTCTAAACCCCAATACTCTAAATTAAGCTCAAAAATTCTGAAGCCCTAAACCCCTAAAGCCCTATAACCCTAATAACACCTAATAACCTAGAACATCTATGCCCGAATCTCTTTGCTTGGCTAGGTGAGATGGTGGATGCAATCACCTGGAATTCTGCCCTGGCCTCTCTCAGCGCAGGCGAGGACCCGAACAAAGCAGCTTTGGGTTGCGGCCCACGCCGCAGGAGAGCCTAAAAGGAGGGTTACAGTCACGGCAGGGTTGAGTTAATGGTAACCATACGTTGCCATAAGACTTACTGCATTGTAAGGGTTGCTTCGGCAGATGTGCAGAGATGGATGCGAAGCAGCCCGAAGGCTACCAGTGGCAGCGTGCACTGGACCTTTTCCTTTCACCCACAAGCTTCTGGCGTGCTGCCCCGCCCGCGGCCACCTCCAATGCAACCGTGGTCACCGCCTTTGGCACTTTAGCCGTGGCGGCAGAGCGGGCCACACGCCGCGGCCTTTGGGGGTTTGAGTGCCAGAGCTGTGGATGTCGTCGTTTTGAGAGCAGGACATGTGGATGCAAGGCACAACGTATACACAGTGATCTGGTACAATATGACATAATCTGATATAATGAGTTCAATCCGATGCGTGATGTTGTCTGCACTACATACACTGTAGTATACACAGTGATGTGGTAAAATTTGGCATACTATGATGTCTGCCGCCATTGCTCTCGAGCCTTGTCACACCATGGCGAGTTCAAGGGGCTCTGCAAGGGGCCGGGGGCCCTTGAGGGTGTGCGCAGCGGCCTCTCTCCTTCTTGCGGCCCCTGGGCTCTTGTGAAGGAGTTTGGTTTAAGTTACCTTATAGGGTTGCTTGAAGGGATCTTTCCTTTTTTAGGGTTTAGGGTTTGGCATCATAAGGATCTGTCGTAAGTAATAGTTCTTCCTTATCGTGGTAACGCCAACTTACTTCCGTAACCCTAAACCCTAACCCCTAAACCCTAAACCCTAAACCCCTAAACCCCTAAACCCTAAACCAAAAAGAAAAACCCTAAACCAAAAGCCCAGGTCTCGGTTAACATCCTCCCGCTTCTTTTCACCGCCGGGGGTCGGCCCTCCCCCAGCGCGACTCACGCGAAGAAGCCGGTGACCTTGCGGGCTACAGAGGGGGCTCTGGACGTCGCCGAGACCGCAGTGGACGCCAACTTCGAGGCACACCCTAAACCC